GGGGGGGGGGGGGGGGGGGGGGGGGGGGGGGGGGGCAAAACACCGAAGGGGGGGCTTGTTTTACAACGTCATTGCCAACGACCAATCCCGATGGCAAACACCGGGAGGGGGGGGGGGGGACTGCAATTACAGCCGGTTTTGTCCGGCGGCCCAACCTGTTTCCCGCTCAACGTTTTGAGACATTCGTTCTCGAGCATCTTCCCCTGCACGTACAACGTGCCCGCCACTACCACCCACATCACCTACATGGGAGCTGCTGAGCCATGATTCCTGCGGGGAGAGAGGCGCAAGCGTCGCGCTACAGAAATATCTTCCGTCACACTTACCCCAAAGTCCATCTAGTGTGTAGCGACGTCGGCTGTGCCGTTTGTTATTCGTGTGTTGTAGCTGGCGACATATGTAACGTGCTCTCCTCGTTCTCAGCAACATCTCCGTGTCACACACACCTAACAGATGAAGATCCGAATCGCCCGGTACAGTTGTAGCAAAGCGAGATATTCAGCATAGCGACACCATCGAACATCATATGACTACCCCCCACCCCACAAACTCACCCGACATGCGGATCGCCTGCACATTCCTCCGAAGCAGTTCCCCCAGTCTCCCCAGAGTTTTAGCAATGAAGGCTTCGTCTCTGGCAGGCCCGATATTGTTAACCACCAGGGCATCGCCGAGTCCCTGCGCAGGTCGCACTTCAACCTTGACGCCATTCAGGAAGGCTCCCTCACCGCGGCACGCAGTGTACAGGTCCCCCGACACAGGGTGGTACACGACACCGATAACCGGCACACTGCCGGCGGGATCCAAGCCACGGGTATCCACAATAGCAGTGTGTCGCCGTTACCGATCAAGCAGCAGGGGAGTAGACGGGTAACACTAGGGCTTCTAGTGGCCGCGACGGCTGGGATGATAAGGAGGGCTCGATTCCTGGCATGAAAAATCTGTGACAACAACTTGGATACAACAGCGGCTGTTGCAAACCTGTTGGCGATTGAACAAGCCCGAAAGCTCTCGGTGGGGAATATAGGCGACCGCAGAGCGACATGGAACAACTTCAATGCAACATCTCTGGCCTCGTTGAATATGTATGAAAAGTATCTCTTCGAACACAATGCAGCAGAGTAAGACGGATTAAGTGGAGAGTAGTCCGAAGTTCAATTTCGACTTCGTAGGGGCAGTACTGCACGTCGTCCGAAGCAAACAGCTGACGTGCGAGGCCTGCGGGTCCGTTCCTCCCCTCTGGACAACGCACAGTCTCTTGGAATCTACGACGCAGATTCTCACCCATCCACAGCCAGCGCGATGCTGACACAGAAGAGCGGGTACCCGTGCACGAAATTGGTCGTACCGTCCAGCGGGTCGATTACCCACGTCGGGGACGTGCCGATGGTGTCCGCGTCGACCGCTTTCCCACCACCGGCCTCCTCAAAGGTGGACTCCTCGCCCATGAATTGGTGGTCCTTTTCTTCCAAGGAGATCACGCAAACGCACGTCATCAAAACCAACGGCAATACGACCCGTAAAGGTGTGCCAATGTAGGAGGGTGCGTTGAGGTGAGACGAACGGAACAAGAAGAACAAGGAAGAAGTAGAAGCTACGGTTAACGGCAACCATCGACAACCATCGATGAGGGTTGGCGTGACGATGTGTGTTCTCAGCGATGTTGGTCACAACATCTAGCAAGACCATGATGACAACCGGATCTATTTCAGAGCGCCGAGTTGATTGCTTTCCCGAACTGTTCATGCAAATCGTCTAAACGCCATGCCCTGCCTCTTACTGGTGAGTGGTCGTTGCTCGGGACGGGAACGTTGGAGCGGCGTTGTCGTCTGAACAAGCATGACGAACAATTCCTGCACCGGGGAGGATGCGCGGCCGATGTTCTGCGTGTAGTAGGCCAGTAACAAAAGCTAACCCCGATCCACCACTACCTCCTCCGCGTCATCGTACCGGATGCGACGCCCTCAGTCGCTCGATGATTGTTCTTTCGGCGGCCTTGTCTGTCTCAGTCACAAGATCGACGCCGCTTTTGACCTGAAGCTGAGAGTTCTCCTGGGACGAGATGGCCGCGGTAATGATCCTGATGTGGATGTAGGTCGCCGCGGTTCGGAAGATGAGAATTTCCTTATGTTTCCTTATGTGCAGTAGACTAGGAAAAATATTAACACACACATGAAGTACCCGTTCGAAATATACCCACAGTCGAACGGGATGTGAAGTATTTTCAGTTGGTGGAGGCAAACCGGCTGGGTACTAGTAGATCCCGGAGATCATCGAGGGAACTGGCTTTCAAGAACAGAGGTTCCCAACGCACTAATAACCATGCCCAGTATCTAATTTGGACGGGGATCGGTCGTGATTGCCATATCCGTGGCACGGCGGTTGCGAAGGGCTTGGCACAACCATGTGCATCCGCCCCCCAACCTTTCGTCATGGGTCATCAAAAGGACCCCAAGGCAGGGTAATGATGTTGGGAGCGAATACGTCACAGAACGTGTTCGGAGCTCGCTTGCTGTCCGCCTCGAAAAAACACAATGGTATTCCGGCTTGCATGCATATAGAGCACTAACACCACGGCTTCATCACCCAGGTCCGCATGCTCCCCGACGGAAACGGGAGTCAAACATCATGGAACATTGTGTTCTCCATACGCTACCTGCGCGGAGATTAATCAACCTGCCGTGTTGTACCCAGTTCCCACAGCGCAGAGATATCTGCCTGTTTCGTGCGTTTCACAACATGATCCGCTTTCGAACGTCATCATCCCGCCACAGACGGTGGCACTTTCCACTTCAGGGCACACACTCACTCTCCGGCAGCTAAGGCTGCTGCCTTTGCCGAAGCGAGCGCCTCCTTGTAACACGAGGCATCCATTGCTCCTCGTCCTCCGTGCGGACGATGATGGCCGAAAAACCGCCGAAAACCTTGCCGCCTCTTGATTTTCCCTCAAGATGTGGACCTCCCTCCGATAGGCCCGCTGCTTCCCCTCTGCCTCCTCACACACCGACACCAACTACTGCAACTTGCATACACGAGGCGGGGGGTGGCAGGGATTGCGTGCTTGGCCGGCTTCGGATATGTGTGGCGCAACAAAAGTTGTACAATGGTTGCACATGTTGCCCCACTTGCACCAAGAATGTCTGTAGGGCCAGGGGCGACGCAGACAGGAACCGCGCGTATGATGCGTTTAATTCCGCCGCGAAAGAGTCATCAGCATCTCTCTGCATCCGACATAACCGATCCTGCAACTTTCATCTGCCTATGCGGTGTGTGTGAGAGCGCACCGCGGATTGCGCGGCGGCCTCCCAACACACTGAAGATTTTATATGCTTGTGGTGTGCGGCGCGGTGCCGATTTTCTCTTGTTGGCAGAGGAAAAGCCCCGCCGAACCCGGGAAGTGAGAGGAGAATTGCACTGCACGCACAGTAGCGGGGAAGGCTGAAAAATTGTGTAGTAGCACGCTTTGCCGCGGCGGCTGCGCACGCCGCGCCCTTATTCGCATAAGTGCCGTCAACAGCAGAATGGCCGGTCAGCGTCGCTATGGCACGACCAAGGGTGACAAGCTGACCGGAGTTCGGGGCGGGAGCAGCAAGGCAAGCAAGGGTCGAAGTGCGGAGCAACCGCGGGTGGCCCCAAATGCGAGAGCGCGCGGCGGAGAGGAAGCCGGGGGTGAGTGCCCCGCCTCGGAGCGTGAACCGCTGCTCCTGGGGTCAAGCGACGACGGCAACGGCGGGCGGAACCTCGGCAACTCGACCGACGTGTTCGCCGCAGGCAGCAGTCGCCGAGACAACAGCAAGGTGCTCACCACTCTCCTCGTCCTGAACTACATGATCGGGTCTGGCATCCTGAATTCCCCGCAAGTGTTCGAAGGGAGCGGCATCGGCCCGGCAACAATCCTCTACGCCGTCTCAGGTATGACGCCTTCCTCACTGCTGCTACTGCTGCCGTAGCGTGATTGGGGTACCGCTCATATTTTGTTGCGGTGGTCCCTTTGACACATGGCCATTGTGCCTTCCGCGGCTGTAGAGATGCGAAATCCTCGCTATTCTCCCCGCATCATGTCGTGGGTCAGCTTTTTTTGCTTGCCGTGACCACAGGACCACCGCGCTACTATAATACTACCTTCACTCGAAGTTGCGGATGCTCTGGGTGAGGAGGTGTGTCATCGGTGTCATACCAGGCAGCAGTTGGCATGTTTTAATCCTGACCAGCAGTGAGCGGTACTTCATCACCTAGAATGTTTTCATCATATGTCGGTGACGGCAGTTACTGCTGCTGTAGACTGCCATGCATCTGATACAACCCGACATTTTTTCAAGTACAAGTAACTCAAACCGGCTTGTCTCACAAACGCACGCCTCTCGAGGTGTGCATTCATTACCACACCTCCATTCTTGCGCTGTGCGTGTGGTACCATCTGTTGAACCCCGTGGTTGTGACACGGCGGCATCCTAGTACGACCACACACGAGCACGATTTTCTTCAATCTCAGCGATCGCACCCCCCGCCCCCCCTCCCGCCCCGCAGCCGTCGCGATCTGGCTCGGCATCGTTGTGCTCATCAACGCCTCCGAGATCTCATTCCCCCACGGCTACGCCCGGACCGGCACTAGCAGTGACAACGGCCCCAACGAGCTGGCGGAAGGAGGAGGGGGCGGGGGCGGCGGCGATGCCGACCCCCTCGACGATATTGAGTTTGCCCAACTGGCGAGAGAGACCGTAGGTCCCCTCGGCCCGTTGGCGGTCGACGCCGCCATCGTGCTGTGCAACTTCGGGGACGTGTGCTCCTACGTCATCCTGGTGGGGTCTCTGACGGGCTCGCTGCTGCTGGAGTGGTTCGGCGGCACGGCGAGCGACGTGTGGTGGGCGTCGTTCTCGGTGGTCACGCCCGTCATGGCGGTGCTCTTCGTGTTCCCCCCCTGCCTCATCCGACACTTCAGCAACCTCAGGTAGGTATGGGTGGGATTGGAGGAGGCCGGCGTTCGGTTGTTGTTGTTGCTGCTTTTGTGTTAGTGTTGCTGTCTGTTGGAGTTGTGGCGGTCTAGTTGTGGCCGGGTTAACAGATCAATCAGATGGGCTACGTGACGTGCTGACCCATGATGGGCTTCTGGCGTAGCTATGTTGTAGGTGCGAGCGAAGGGCATGGTGTCGGCTCGTAGTAGGGGGGTACTGGTGAAGCGAGAGGCAACATCTGAATTTTTGCCCTTCTCTCCGTTGGCTACAGCGATTCGCTTAGCTGAGGAGTACGCAGACGTGGGGAAACGATGGGGGGTAGAGGAGAGCTTCTGTTGTTGCCCGGGGGGTGGTCACTATAGAGGGAAAGGCCTACAAGTACAGGCTTTGTTGGAGTGGGATATGGAGTGGTTAGCCTGACTGGCTGCCGCCATCGGGCCTGCGTGACACGCCTTGGCGCATGAATCCCAGCGCCGACTGCCCGTGCCCCGGTTGATCCACGGTCAACCTCCTCCTCACATGCCGATGCACTCATCACGGCAGCCCCTCTTCGTCTTCCCCCCCCCCCCGCGACAGATGGCTCGCCGTCTTCAGCTTTTGCACCATCTGTTCCGTCGTAGCGCTCGTCGTTATCGGCGGGCCGATCTATGCCAGCGAAGAAAGAGCGGAGCCAGATCACGACCCGGACCTCGACACTAGCGTCGTATGGTGGGATTGGGTCGGGGCGTTAGCGAACCTCGGGTCGATCGTGTTCGCTCTGTCGTGTGCCCCGGCCGTGCTCCACGCTTACTCTTCGATGACACCGCAATCTACCAGGTGGGTCTTCGGGGGCTCAATCTGATTTGTTTTTTCGTGGGTATTGAGAAACCCGCGGCGATGGAAGTGTTTCGTTGCTGCGACTGTTGTCTTCCCCTCCCCCCCTCTCCCCCACCCATCTTCGCCTGGGCGTTTTTGTGGTTGTTGGTATTTGCTTTCCCCCCCCCCCCC